AATAGTGGAATTAACCGTCACATTATAACGCCCCTACAGCTGAAAGGACGAGCATGTTTAGCGTGACGGGGATTCGAACCCGCGACCTTCAGATTTCGAGTCGAACGCCCTAACCACCTGGCCATGCAGGGCGATATTTTATGTGAATCTGTACGTGTAACTAGGATTCTGGACTGAAAGATCATGTAACACTTACATCATATATGAAGTTATGAAAGTGTATTTTCTGTGTGTACATAACTACACTGGAACTGGTCTTATTGTGTTGGAAAGCAGCATATAATAAAATACACATTATGAATATTTTCCCTGTGGATTAAAGGGTTACTAACGTTGAGTTGAAGGTGTTGATTTAGTGGAGATTAGTATGCAATAAATACAATATTTTCTTTTGAAAAAAATAGAAGTCTCAGAAGTTCACATCCTTTTGAGTGTAAGACTTAATTGGTATTTTAACATTTAAATATATTACAGCATCATATCAACGAAAAATTGTGACAAGTGGCATTAACGTCTTAAATTTCACAGATCAATCTGAAAATATTTTAGGTTAAGTAAAAAACAATTTAAAAACAACTAAAACTCAGCTTCTCAAAGGGATATTAAACATATATATATAACCATATCAATGTTTAAATATTTTCTTACTTATACGGAAATATAAAAAAACAACAATCTGATGACAACCTAAGAAATAGCTATAAAAATACTTATGTACTCAAACTTAGGATTGTCCGTGTGGAACGCCCAATCTGGCATGAAATGGTAACACCATGCGCATGCGTCATACTCATATATATCTTTAATATAGAATCCTCTCTGATTCCGACATTTTACAGATTCCTTTGGCATATGAGTAGTGGTGGTGGGCTTCAATTCCCGTTCGGCACGTAATGAATCCCACTGTGCGGTCACAGACATCATCCGTTCCTCATGCACGCTTGGAAGTTCTGCAGAAGACGATCCCCACTGTTCAGACGTCACACTTGGAGGATAATCCACTGTCTGTTCAGTGTACGCACAACCAAACTGTGGGAAAATGTGAACAATTGTTAGAAACCATCCTCGATAATTCTCGTCGAAAACCACACACGAAATTATACAACTTTCACACAAGAGTAACAACACACACATTATCCTATTTTTTTAATTGAAATAATTACGTCTCTTAAAACTATACATCTTCAGGTAATTCAGGACTTGTCATCTTTTATCATAGGGCGTGTTCCTAAGTACTCCAATGATTGTATTCCACTTGTTTCTATATAGCTATTGTCCGACTTTAGAAATAAATTACTGTTGTTTGTAGTTAAGCACAAAGCTACACGATAATCTATCTGTGCTCTGCCCACTACGAGCATCGAAATCATGTTTCTAGCGTTGTAAGTCCTCAGACATACCACTGTGCTACTGGGGGGAGGCTATTGAAAGAGAATCGTGTTTCAGTCATTTTTGTCTTTCTAAAATTACACTGGAAAAAGGTTTATCGTTAAAAACAACCACTAGATGGCCAATTTTCTCAGGTCACGTCATTCTCAATTTTATCATAAAAAACAAACACACAACGTTTTTTTTTTCACCCAAATTTAACAGCCATTATCCTCTTACGTCTAGGATCGATCTCGCTTCACTTAACATGTCGGACACTTTGCGGTCATGGGTACGTTATAAGAGTAGCGATCAAAACCCTCTCTTCGATTAGACTAGCCCACAAGTTGGCGGAAGGTGGTGTTGACTAGCTGCCTTCACTCTAGTCAATCACTTCTAAATTAAGAATGGCTAGCGAGGATAGCCCTCTATTAGCTGTGTGCAAAATTCAGCAAACAACTCTTACGTCTGTATGAGCTCTCCATTTCTGTATAAGCCAATTTAAATAGATTAAATTATTTTTTATTTATTTTTTAATTGAATAAAAATATCAAGAAATGAAGTTATTTAATTTTACTATAACTCCTCCGGCCAAGAATTATATGTCTCTTATTGAGCAAGATTGGCACAATTTTTGTCAAGCAACATTCTAAAGACAGAAATACGTTCGTTGTCCTCAAGATGATACTTATTCACTAAATATGAAACGTTGTTTTCTCAGCACTACTTAAACCACAGGAGGTTTAGGCCTGACATCCTGTAGATTTGACACTTCTCCAATCCTAAACCTGGAAATTTTAAATACGACTATACCATGGGTTTCAGCTATTATTTAATGCTTAGATAATACGAAGCTATATGGCAAAATAAAGCAGCCTTTTTGTATATTCTGAGGTTGGTCTTTTTGTTTCCTATAAAGTTGGAAATGTTTATTTTTTCTGTGGCATTCTAAACTGTGTTTATGTAGGATGAGTATTCAAAGCTTCGGTCAGTATCATAGTTTTAATTTAAGTTTATTTAACCTAATAATAAAGCTATTTATATGCTAATATACAAAGTTTCGGAAATATGAAAAACGCAATAAATTAACATACATAACAGCTACGTTTAGATGTTATTCTAACAGAATATAAACTGTACGAAGCGCATTTTTTAGACGATAAATAGTTGAACAGACTACAATAACCACGCAGTGCATGCTTCGATGCCAAATGAAGCGAGCGCGTCTCGAAGAGAGTTCATGTTTAGACGTCATACTTGAATAAATTGCCACCTATAAAGGACACATCTTTAGATGCTTTACTTATACACACTCAGTGGTAAGTCTGAGGACTAATAATGCAAAAAATCAAATTTTGATACCCTCGGTAGGCAGAGCACAGATAGCCCATTGTGCAGCTTTGTGCTTTTGGACATAATACAGCTCGCACAGAGATCAAATGTGTAAACGCTATACCTGAATACACCACATCTATGTGAAACACATAGTGGAAATTTACACATAACCGGTCTTAATTTTGAGCTCATAGACAAGAGGGAAGACAGCTAGTCAACAACACCCATCGTCAATCCTTGAGCTCAGAGACAAGAGGGAAGACAGCTAGTCAACAACACCCATCGTCAATCCTTGAGCTCATAGACAAGAGGGAAGACAGCTAGTCAACAACACCCATCGTCAATCTTTCAGCTATACTTGTCTGAATGAGTAGTTGGATTTGACTGTCACCCTTTTAAAGCACCCACCACCCTAAAAGTGCGGGGCGCGTTTTTAAAGAACCGTACGCTAACCACTATTATATTAAAGTAGAGCTACAGAAAAGGCTATCTGTGTTCTGCCCACCACGGGTATCGAAACCCGGATTCTAGCGTTGTAAGTCCGCAGACATACCTCTGTGCCACTGGGGGCCAAAACATTGTTAGCATACCACCTACTGGAATAGACTAACCTTTGGATTAATTTATCCGTAATTAAAGTTTAGAGATAAAAATATTGTTAACATACCAAACTACTGAACAGTCCAACCTTTAAGTTAACTATCTGTAGTTAAAGATTAAAGAACAAAATATTGTTAACAAAGTAGCTACTGGAACAGACCAACCATTAGGTTAACTTTCCAAAGTTAGTGATTAAAAATCAAAATATTGTTAACATACCTGCTACTGGAACAGACCAACTATGAGGTTAACTTTCCAAAGTTAGTGATTTAAAAATCAAAATATTGTTAACATACCAGCTACTGGAACAGACCAACTATGAGGTTAACTTTCCAAAGTTAAAGATTTAAGATTAAAATATTGTTAACATATCAACTACTATAACACTGACTTGCTTTTCGGTAAATGATATGCGATCTGTGCCTGTTTAAATGGCCGACTAAGTCAATTGTGCATGCCAACGGGAAATCCTAAAAAAGGGAAACTACCAACAGATACCCCATTATTTCCGTGAAATACTCATATAAAATATCTGCATTTTGTCAGAACTTTAAATTACTAAAAAAAAGATTGCCCCACAGATATGATTCTTAAGTAAAAATACAGCGAAAAAAAACATTCTAATTGCGTCAAGCTGAACCAACCATGGCCCACTAGATAACTTGCACAAAACTGTGGATACGATGATTCGTGGCTCGTGACTTGTTGCCGCAAAAAAAAAAACACTTCTCACTTTGGTGGCATGGTTGCAATATAAGACTGACGTTCGAATCAGACTAAACTAGTTGAAGATGCTGTTGAATAGCTGCTCCTCCTCTGACCTACGAGTTCAAAGTTAGACACAAATACGCAACATTATGGTATAAATCAAACGGTATAAGTTACACAAGTGTCTTATTCCCAGTTTTAAAGTTCTAATACAATGCGTAATCAATTACCTTACCTAATAACTGGAACTATTGAATTTATCTTTCCCGAATTAAGTATATTTAGCCGAAGATACGAACTAGTAAACAGCACCCACCGCCAACTCTTCGGTTGCTATTTTCTGATAGAATAGTGGGATTTGACTGTCAATCAAATAGCGCAACAATGACACCAAAATGTGGAGTTTTTACGGCAACAGGACGCGAACCATGAACCCTCAGATTCACAGTCCAAATACGCTAACCACTGCACCACTTCTTTTAATTTTAATCTTTTCTAACAAGAACTGTTTTTAGCGGGTGTTTGTTTGTTTGTTTTGAATTTCGCGCAAAGCTACACGAGGGATATCTGCGCTAGCCATCCCTAATTTAGCAGTGTAAGACTAGAGGGAAGGCCGCTAGTCATCACCACTCACCGCCAACTCTTGGGCTACTCTTTTACCAACGACCGTCACTTTATAACGCCTCCACGGTTGAAAGGGCGAGCATGTTTGGTGGGACGGGGATTCAAACCCGCGACCCTCAGATTGCGAGTCGAGTGCCCTAACCACCTGGCAATGCCGGGCCAGTTTAGCGGGTGAAACCATCCCATAAGAACTTATTCAATGAAACTTTCACGAAGGGTGTTAGGACATGTCTGTTATACAAAGATCTCATTAAGTACAGCAGAACTTGATAGTAGGGATAGTAATGAAACAAAATGGCGGCCGTAAAAATCGCCCATTTAAAACCACCTTTAAAGTGTCTGACAATTAAAAATGACTATTTTACAGTATTTGCTGAGCAAAATTAGAATGTATTGTATTTATAAAGCCGTCTAAATCGCTATATACGGAGTGAATCAACATTTCACTATTTCAACGAATTTTCATCAAAGTAGCTATGTATGTGACTTATCGAAACAAGTGTGCAGAAAAAATGACGAACCTTATCGCTCTAATTATTCCACAGAACTCTTCCGTCTGGGGTCCCAATGATTCCTTTCCTGTACTGAAAAGGATACTATTATATATATATATAGATAGATAATGGACGGTGCGCTACTTTGGGCACATAATCAGATTTGAAGGGAGGTTGGTAGAGTAATAAAATCGAATCGGGTATACGCGCGCCCCACATTTGGTATTACTGCCACATGAAAACATAACTAATAAAAAGAAAACAAACAAGTATTATAATCTTTTTAAATTTAATAAAGACAAGTAGGGATCAATATGTACGTTACCTAGCTAGCTATAATAATATAGAAAGTTTGGTGTTACAAAACGTTTTGTAAGAAGGAAATCAAAACTACAAAAACCGAGTTACTTAAAATTTAAAAACTTTTATTAATACTTCTCAGACTAACATAATTACAGCGACTTGTCAAAGTAATGATTTTTTAAGTACTTCAATTTTTGTAGTTTTGACTTTCTTGTTTCAATACTTTTTGTAGCATTAATTCTTTCTATATTGCTATAGCTAGGTTGCGTATATATCGACCCATGCTTGTCTTTATAAAATTATTCATTTTTATTATACTTGTTATATATATAAATGAAAGAGGCCAACATTCCCGGGCGAATGCAACATATCTCCCCCACGCAATCCCAACATGAACAATTTTGATGCCAGAAAAATCGCGAAAAACACAGACATAATCGAAAAAGTATCTTATTACCAAATCCCCTGTAAGTTGGTTGACCTTCACGTTAATAGTTCACGGAACTAAAATCCCAAATTGTGCTTTCCTCGCTGAAAAATTTAGCAAAAGACAAAAATTATTAAATTGTATTTATTTATGTTTGGAGCCTTCAAAAA